CGTAAAGGAAAAAAACCATCAAAGAAATTCAATGTCTGTACTGCTTCAGCCCTCTTAAAGTGCCGTAAATGTTAAATAAAAACATGAGAAAAGCTGAAGGTAAAAATCTCGGATTTTCTAAGAAGAGGAGCAGCAAGCGATATAAGAGCAATACAAGACTTAACGTTTGGAACGACAGCTGCAACGACGCAGACGACGACGATGACAAAAAAAACTGAAATTCCTCGTATTACTAAGAGCGAAAGTTTTTCAAAATCCTTAAAATAACCGCTGACATCATGAAGCACGGTACATAACGATTACCACGCAAAAATTCGCAAAAAACCACTGCATTCACGATGGTGAGTTTAAAATATCCACTTTTTCACATTCTGATACAACAGAAGTTCATGTCATCAGCATTTTTGTAAGTCCTGGCCAAACGATCACTGCCATTATTGTCTAATCTCACGACGATCCCCCGTTCTTTACTTTTTTTCTGCAGTCAGATTAATAAAAATTTACATTTTGTCCCAACAAACCCACTCGGAGGGCAAAATTTAAACTGCTCCCTACTTTCTTCGTCCTTCAGCCGCTACAAACAAAATTTCCCCTAATTTTCTTCTTTGAATAAGTTCATTTTTCACGTTTTTTTCATCGTCCAACAATTTTGTTCACCTAATATATATTGTTCAGAAAAATGCAGCTAGTGACTAAAGACCAATTCCTCGTTCTCGCCATCAGATCCTGATCTCCATACTGAGTACGTTGTACTGAGTTTGTGGTTGCTCGTAACTGCTAAAAGGCTATAAAGCGTAAATCCACTCCCTAGAAGCTGTAGAGGTCTTGAAGCGAAAACTGAAACCGCTGGCCGACTTCCAGGATTGGACTATGTTATCCGTATGTCAGAAAAGTAATAAATAGTAGTATAGACATGAGCTATCCTACTTGAAACCGCGCGCCTTCTTTATTTAATATTTTAGAACCTTTCCAAGCTTTGTCCTGTTTAGCAGAGACTAAGCCAGGGTACAGAAAGCCGGGAAGAGCACATGGAAAAATGAATTCCTTGCCAAGCTGCACCTCGTAAAAGTAACTAAATTTGCTGCTTGAAATCCCTGTTTTTGGTTACTTGTAATTTACCTCAACCTTCGTGAAATTAAAAGATTTTAGGTTTGTGGAGTTTGGTTTTTCACTTTTGAAACCACATTATATCGTTTGAGTCTATTTAGTAGCTAAATAGATGCGAGACACAAAATTCCAAAAGTAAAAGAAGTGTCCTTAAATTTCTTTTGAAGAGCACGTTTTCTGTAAAGTTTTTTTGCTATATAACATACTATAAGTTGGTAATTTCGTTTTGCTCAAGTCGAAAGTGAACAAGGCGGAAAAGAATATGAGACTGAAAAAAACCTAATTTTTCTACAGTAATCCCACGCATTTTACAGCGCCAAACCATTTTCATCTGGATCTGGAAGCCACGGAAAGCGGCCATAAAAATCTGGTTAGTTCTAATCACAGAAATTTGGATAAAACTTATATTTTGCTTTAATATTGACAAATTATTATTGCACAGGATACAACTAGCCTTTACTTGAGGGTCTGCTACGTGTTATGGTCAATTGGATGGGTCATTAAGGCGCATCTAAGGTTTTTATGCACTGAACACATAGGACATTAGAACTTTCATTTCGGCGTACGAAGGGTTAACGCAGAGACAGACTTTTAATTCCTTCGAAACGTATTCGTGGTCTACTCCTAACACTACTGTCGTATAAACAAGGATGAGAACTAATCATTGTTCTTTCTTTAACATCATGTGTTGTGATCTTGTAGGCCGGCTTAGCCATTAAACCTTCTGTGAAAACTCTGGCCCTGCGCCTTACTAAGCAAAGCAATAAGTTTTTAGGCTTCTATAAAAAGCCAAAACATGTACAAGCCGCACAGTTTTGGCAAGGAGAAGACGATACGCAGAAGACATTGAAGTGAAAGCTACCCAGTAAAACTCCGGAAGATTAATGCTAATGTTATGAAATTAAATATAACTTTTTACCCATAGCTTTGCATTGAAATTTACTAGATACTCACAGTCGCTCTTCTTAACTTTCGGAAGCAACTAAAGATGGCTTTGCCAATAAAAAATGTGTTGGATTACTACAAAAAAAGTAGCCCTTCTTCAGTGTTATGTTCCTTTTCGCCTTGATCACTCTTGACTTGAGCAAAACCGCATCATCAATTTGTGAGAGGTTATAGAGCAAAAAATTCTACCCAAAATGAGTCTTTTTTTAAAAAATTCAAAGATAAGTTTCTCTTTTATATTTATTTGAAATTTTGTTTCTGTTGCATCTTTTTGACTAGCTAATAAAATTAAATGATACTGTGGATTCGAAAGCAAAAAGCCAAAGTAAATAAACAAAAAATCTTTTGATTTTTCCAAGGTTGAGTCAAATTGCAAGTCAGAGAAAACAGTCTTGTTAAGCAGCAGCCGAGCAAATTTCGCTTTATATA